ATATTTCATGCAATTTATTTTATACTCTATTTTTTAAAACAAATTATAAGTTGCTCTTAATTCATATGAAATAGTGACATGATTTTCATTACATCATGAAATAAGTTCACTATCAAATATAAAAGTTAACATTTGACGGTAGAATATTGAAAAGGAATTTGAAAGCTTAATAAATAAAACACTACAAAAGTATTTTGTAACAAGACTAAAAGGAATTTTGTTGAATAAGAAGAACAAAAAAGGTAAAAGAAAATATGAAAATTAATGAAGAGAATTTGAACACGAAGAAGGCGACCATAACATATAAGAATGACAGTAGTGAAAGCAACAATGGAGGTGGGCAGCGAGAGCAGCAGTTTAGTGAAAACAAGTTTTTTTTTGTGACTTATAGTTTCTACTTTCTATGTTTTAGAGTTTGATTCTAGATGCGTGTTTTTGTGAAAGAAAGAACGTATAAAAAAGGATGGCGAATGATTAGACCCATAAAAATTTAAGCTTAATGATGGGTGGAATAAAAAATCTTGAGCATAATTATTTTCATCGTTCGGTTCATCGATTTGACGGTTCCTATAAATTAAAACCGAAAACCGAACCAAATCACATCAGTTTTTAATAGTTCGATTCGATTTTAGAATTAAATCATAAACAATCAATTTTATTTCGATTTAGTTTAGTTTAGATTGTTGGTTTAATTGGATTTTTCCTATTCGCTTACACCCCTATACCTTGCTTACAAATATTCATATCTTATAATATAATAATTTGTTTCCCTAAATTTAAACTAAATTAGTAAAGGACTGGTGTATTCGCATTGGTTGCGCAAAGTAGATATAAATATTAAATAAATATTATATAGTTATTGTTAAAAAATATATATAAATATATACAAATTAAGAGAAAAAATCTTTCAATGATGATTGTCATATAAATATTAATTTAATTTATTAAGTTGTAATAATTGTCAGGATATACATAGAAATTATGTTGAATATATATATGTTGAATATATCCGTCGTGCAATATCATTATAAATAGTAAATAAATATAATATAGTGATGGTTAAGAAATGTATATAAAAGATATACATATTAATTAGTGTCAACCCGTCTGAAACGTATATTTTAGTAGAAAAATAAAGAAAATAATTAAGTAGGTTGTAAATAATAAATAAATATAATTTAGTGATGGTTAAGAAATGTATATAAAATATATACAAATTAAGTAGTCTCGGTCGGTTAAAAATATATATTTTAATAGAAAAATAAATAAATAAATTAAGTAGTCATCTACCCGTGCTTTCGCACGGTCGTGCAATGTCATTTTAAATAAAAATATTAAAATAGTTGTTTTATTAGCATACTTGAAATATTAAATAACATGTTTATGACTCTATAATAGAAATTTAAACAATCGTTGTTGTCCATTATTGTTCGTCAATCAAATAGATAAAATTATAATAATTATAATTAATGTATATTGTTTTTTACATTTTTTAAAGAGATAAAACTTACTTTTAATGCGGTGATAAAATTTTATGTGTACTAATAAATAAAATAATAATATATAATTGTAGAGATGTAAAAAGAATGATAAATTTATCTTTTTCATAACAAATTTATGTATTTTTTATCATAATTGTTGCATGTTCTTTTATCAAAAACAAATATTTATATTTATTAGTATAGATGCTAACGTTTTATCATAAAAAAATACTAACTTTTTTTGATAAATTAAAATTTTAAAATAATTTATTATACTTTAATATTATTTAAGTTTTTTTATAAAAAAAAAGAGTAATATATTACTATAATGTATTGATTATATCCCTCCTTCCCATGCCTCTTGGATTGTGAGAGCTATATTTAAACACAAGGAGGAATTGATGGCCTCGATGGTTTGGGATGAATTCCGGAATAGAGGCGGTTACCGTACTAGAGATATGTACAAGTTGTTTAGGGGGTGAAAACCAAAGTTAGGTGGAAAAAGGTTATCCTGGGTAATTGCGCTCTTGTGCTCGTCCTAGGGCCACTTTCATCACTTGGATGACACTCCTAGGTAGACTGTCTACTAAGGAGTTTGTGCGTGTTTTGTGGAACAAATGAGGATATTCAACATGTCCTTTTTGAATGTGATTTTGCGATAAACATTTGGAACCAAGTTTTAGATAGAGATGAGGAGTACCGTTGGGCGACCAATGGGGTGATGGGGTAATACTAAAGGCAAAAGTATGAAGTGTAGGAAAGCTAAACTGATTGTTGCGAAAACCATATATAGTATTTGGACTGCCCGGAATATGATTATATTTCAGAATCATACTAAAGATTTTTTCCAATTGGGGGAGTTAAAGTGTATGGAGAAAATTAATACTAATCCATAATTATGGTTGAGTGTAGTTGTCTAGTGTTTTAGTTTATTGGATGTTGTTGACTTAGGCCTGGATCTTTAGATGGACTTTGTATTAATTATTTTTGGATTAATATATTTCCATTTCTTCAAAAAAAAAAAATTAAATAAATTTGATAACAACAACTACATAAATTTTGAATACTAAAAGTAAAATTAAATTTAAAAAATTAAATTTTTAAATATTAAATGTAAATTAGGTTTAATATTAAATAATATTTACTTTTATTTATTAGATTTGAAATAAAAATAAATCCTATTAAACTAGAAAGAGTTAAGTATTTTTTTTCTTATTTCATGTAATAATATTATATGTGGTAAAAAAATTTCCGTCTATTATACTTTTTAAATCAATGCATAAAAAATCAATCTTAATTGATTGAATTATTTTTAAAAGAGTAAAGTCATCTTATTAAAAGATTTCATGTGATGAGTGGTTATGATTTGACCTGATTTTATGTGTCGAGTAAATCTCTTTATTAAATAGTTGTTTTATCAGCATAATTGGGATATTAAAAGAAAGTTTATAACTTTGTGAAATTTAAACCATTTAAAAATCGTAATAATTACTCAAAATATATTCAAAGTCCTAATAATCAATTAAAAATAGTTAATTTAATTTAATATTAAAAAGTTGATAATAAAATTTCATAATGGTTTAAAAGTTGAATATAACCCTATAAATACCCAACACCGTTGTGACATCTCTTAACCTACGGTATTAATATTTTTTTTTATTATTAATTTTTTTTAATATATAAAGTGTTATCACTACGGTGAAAACTTTAACCATTGCGAATATAATTGCGAATATATTTACATATAAACTAATTAATTTATGGTTGACAAATAAGTTTTCGATTTCACATATCGATAATTTTCATGGTATTTGTAGGACTCAAGAAAAGTGAATCGATAATTTTCATGGTATTTGTAGGATTCAAAAAAAGTGAATGAAGAAACAACAACATCAAACTTCATCTAATTTTAGAAGTTATGATATTGTGATAATAACTTCATCCACCTTATATTTTTTTTTATCATAAATGAATCTCATATGATGATGATGGTAGCAAGCCTATAATATAAGTTGATAAATCTATGTAAATTAACTTGATGTTTTTGTTGATAAATGTGATTGCTATTGTCTCAAAAATCTCTTTGAACGATTGTATATGGTTAATGAGGGACAGAGAAAACAAGTAATCTCATATTTTATACACCAGATGTAGTTGGATATCAAACTCATGTCAAACGGATACATATTTTACTCCAACGATTTCTGGACTCGAATTTCCATTGTAATTGTATTATTAATAATACAAACAGTGTAACATTATAATAATATAATTATAATTAAATATATATTCATTTAAAATTTTGATGTTAATCTTATGTTAATCTTAACTAATAGAATTTATAAGGAAGTTGTAATATTATTATTGTATTTTCAAAAAACCCATTAAGGATGGACTATTTGATTTAAAAAAAAAAAAGAGACGTTTTTGTGTTTGTGTGAGTCAAATATCAAATCACCAATTTTGAAAAAAGCAAATAAATACTGAGATGGTGGTAAATTTAATATTTTTATATTATTTTGTAAAACCAACACATTAAATATCAATAAAAAATATTAACACACACTTATCACACAAAAACACATTCATCACAGGAGTACATATAAACCATAAACCCTAAATATTAAATATTAAATACATAATAAAATGTATTGAATGAAATTTATGAATTTAAATGAATATTATAATTTAAAATAAAAATTATTTAATATTAGATTAAACAAATAATTTATTTTAGTTTTTTTTTTACAAATAAGACAGTTACTTTAGAACAAAGAATTAATTTGATTTTATAATTATTATTAATTAATTTGATTTTACATCTTTATAATGAATTTAATGATATGATTCTATGACTATGATTGAAATGTTATATTATTTCCATACTTGGTAAGTTTTTTTTTTTTTTAATTTTTTATTTTATTTTCAACAATCATTGTTTTAATGGCCTATGTTTTAATTAATTTTAATAATTTTAAAATAAATACTATTTAAAATATTTATACTTACATCATCAACATTTTCAGAATAACAATCAGCAAACCATGCCATTCTTGTGAACCCGTGAACCAAATAAAAAGAATAGGGAATTAATCACTTAATTTTTGCTTATAAGATACTAACACCATTTAATTAAAATAACTTCTTTCCATTCTCACATTCACCTTCGTCAAGTTTATAAAAACCTTTGCCACGTAAGCAAAACTGAAGGATCCACATTTTCTTCCCGTGATCTGCGCCGCAGTAGATTAAATCCCAAAGCCCAGTTTTTTCAGTTTTAGCACAGTCACTCAAGTGTTTACTTGAGACCAAAGTTTCAAAACCCATAAGAATCACAACAACAAAAAATGGCATAAACACAAAACACAACAGAATCAAATTTTCCTTAAAAAAAAGTATCAAAATCAAAATAGAAGATTAAGATTCTCCATTATCTTTATTTTCTACGCATTTATTGTTTTATTTTTGTGTCGTATTAACTTCATTGGTTTTCAATTCCAAATCTTAGTTTCGTTGCCAATGGAGGGTTTAGAAGAATCCAGAAGAAGCTTTAAGCGTAAATGTGAATTCCCAAAACGAAAGCTTCAAATCAATGAAAGGGTTGAGGTAATGTCAATTGAACCCTAGTTTTGATAATGCCATTTTTGTGATAAACCCTATTAACTACATTGTGATTACTTTAACTGTTTATGGCAATATATAAGGACGTGTATATGGAAAAAGTTTTAATTTTGGTATTTTGGTATTTTGATTTTGGAGTTTCTGTGAATGGGAATTGAAAATTTTTGAATTTTCTTTTTCAGGTGAAGAGTTTTGAGGAGGGTTTTCTGGGGTCATGGCATCCGGGTACTGTTATTGAATGTGGGAAGCTGACGCGTCATGTTCGATATGAAAATATTTTAGATGATGATGGGTTGGATTATTCTGTGGAAGTGGTGAAAGTTTCAGATGCTTTGGATTGTGAATTTGGTTCTCCCAGTAAATTTGCGGTGATTAGGCCGCTGCCTCCTTGGGTTGAGTTTCAGACATGTGATGTTAAGTTTGGTCTTTGTGTTGATGTGATTTACCGGGATGCTTGGTGGGAGGGTGTTGTGTTTGATCACTGTGAAGGAATGGAGGAGAGGAGTGTGTTTTTTCCGGACTTGGGGGATGAGATGAAGGTTGAGATTGATCAGATGCGGATTACTCGGGATTGGGATGAAGTTACAGGGGAATGGCGGAGACGGGGGAACTGGGTGTTTCTTGAATTGATTGAGGACTGTCAGAAGGAGTCGTATCTTGCTGTTTCGGTGAAGCAAATTTGGTATGAAGTGCGACAAAAAAAGGAATTCACAGTTGTTGGCGATTGGACGTTAAATGTGAAGAAGGATTTGTGGAGAGACATGATAATGCAGGTAGTTGTTGACTATATGGGTGTTACAGTAAAAGAAGTTTTCTCAACCTTGAAGCCTCAAGAGCTGGACTCCGTTGGACTAATGTCTAAAGTTGATTCAAACAAGAACTTATCCGAGAAGGAGAATTTTGAGCAGAAACAACTTGTTGTTTTTCCAGTTGAAGACGACTTTCCTAAGTTTCGAAATGAAGTTTCAGTTGCTATTTGTTCCAAGAGAAACAAACATAGATCTTCAACTCATTCAAATTCCGACAAATGGGAACCTGTAATAGTGTCTGAAACAGAATACTGCCCCGATGCTGTTAGGCAATATGTACTTGCTTATCAGAACAGGAGTAATAGGGAGTTTTTGAAGAAAAAAGTATGGAAGCATCTTACATATCTTGGATGGGAAATTTACCGATATGATCATCGGCTCAGGTACAAGCCACCCGATGGAATCTGTCGTGAGAAGAAATTTTACTACTCACTTATTGATATTTGTAAAGTTATGGAATCAAGGGTGAACTCTTCCGTTTCCAAAAATGATCTCGGTAACAATGCTCCTACTCCTTCCTCTATTAATGGTTATAATTTATCTATTTCTTCTTCTACTTCACAATCTGAACCACCCCAAACCATTAATATAAGTGCATATCTTCCTACTCAACCCACACCATGTAAACCACAAAAACTGCCTCGACCATGTCATGTTCCACATGTGCCTCTTAATCCATTGGAAAAGAGTCAGAATCTAGATGTCTCTTCTCTAGCTGTGGTGCCTTCTTCTGTTGCAGTGGCGTATTATCCTCAAGCCGTTGTTGAATACCACAAACGTGCATTCGAGCCGAGTTCGGATAATAAAAGAAAACTTATTTTGAAAATAAGAAAGCATCTCGTGAACGAAGGATGGGTTTTAACTGACCCGCCACTAAAAAATAGAAGAAGGGGTGTGTTATATACTTCTCCGCAAAATCGGAAATTTAGCTCACTCAACACGGTATGCAAATTCCTAATTGAGGAAAGTGTTAGAAGATTGTCTATTTTTGGCATTCAACCTTTAAATGCCTCCTCAGTTGTTAACGAAGAAAGTGTTGATCAGGAAAATATTCAAAGATCAACTATGTATGGCATTCAACCTTTTGTTAGTGATGAAAGTGTTGATCGAGTACCAAGTGGTGATTTATCAAGTAAAACATCACATTTTCTTCCTCATCAGACTGAGTCATACACTATAGACAGGGTTGCTACAAATAGATCAAAGCGAAAATGCGATGAATCAAGTCTAAGGGTGAGGTCGAATAAAAGAGTGCGGAAATTTTCTGTCCCTTCTCTATCACATCAGAAAGCTCTGAATGTTGTGTCTTGGTTGATAGACAGCAATGTGGTGTTACCAAGGTCTAATGTTTATTATGTAGCAAAAAGACGGCGTGCCATGGCATCTGGTCGAATAACTCACGATGGAATCAAGTGTAAATGTTGTCATAAAATATACAGTCTTGTTTCTTTCGAATTTCATGCTATTGGCAGTAATACCACCAGACCAAGTGCTAGTATCTTTCTGGATGATGGTAGGTCGCTCTTACAGTGCCAGATACAAATAATGCAAGATCATGTGTCAAGGGAGGCTATGGTAAAATCACAGACTCGTTTGTGTCAGAGTGAAAACGACTACATTTGTTCCGTTTGCCGCAACGGGGGCGAACTTCTTTTGTGTGATCGGTGTCCGTCTTCATATCATAAGACATGTCTTGGTCTGGAGGTAGGTTAACCATTATCATTCTAGTTCATGGTGTATTTAGTGTTCTCGTATTTATTTCAGTTTAATTCTTCCACACCAATAATTGAACTTTGTTTTTCCTGTATAGGACATCCCTGAGGGTGAATGGTTTTGTCCATCATGTCTTTGCAGGATTTGTGGCCAAAGAAAATTCAACGGAGGCGGTGAGGATGGACCTTTCCTTAAATGCATTCAGTGTGAACATAATTGTAAGTATGTGTTAGAGCTGGTATTGAAATGAATAGAATATACTGATACATATAATACATTTGCTTACACATTTCATCCATATCTAGATATCTTTTGATTTTTATGTGTATTTATGAGCATATGTTAATCAACACTGCTATACTTACCATGTCATTTTTATGAACCCAATGTAGATCATGTTGCATGCCTGATAAGTAGAAATACATGTAAGTCCAAAAGTTATGCGGAAAGACGGTTTTGCGGAAAAGACTGTGAAAAGGTATATATTCAATGCATCCCCTTATTTATTGGAAAATTTTAGCAATGCTTTTGTAGAAATTTGGTAATTTATCTGCTTGTTAGAAATAAAATTATATTTGTCGTTGATACACTTCGGTATATGTGATTTTGGTCAATGCTCGCACTTGAAATCTAATGGAATTAATGAGGATTGATTTCGGCGAAATTACATGTTATGACTTGGCAATAGCAAGTCCAATTAAGTTTAATGCCATACTAAAATTTTGTTGTGTCTATTTTTTCGTAGTTATATGAAGGCCTTCAAAGAATGTTGGGAGAGCCAGTTTCAGTGGGTGTGGACAATCTAACGTGGACATTGGTGAAGTGTTTCGATTCTGAGAGTTGTGATATTGATAGTTGTAAAAGTGGATTATTGGCAGAAAGTTACAGCAAACTCAATGTAGCTCTTTCTGTGATGCATGAATGTTTTGAGCCCCTAAAAGAACCCTCCTCAGGCAGAGATCTGGTGGAAGATGTTATATTCAGCCGATGGTCAGTGATTCTTATCCATGAAAATATGTTCCCAGTGTTTTATTAGAATACATTTTTATATTTGTGTTATTGATATTGGTAGAGACCTAATATTCCTAGTAATATATTTATTAATTGCAGTTCTCCGATACTACATGTGCTATTCTCACCTTTGCTAAGATGTTCAGTTGGAAAAGTTTCATAGTTCTGATAGGAGAGTGTCATTTAAAATATCACAGTTCTTATAGGAAACTTGCATTTAAAAATAATCAACCGATGTGGAGGTTTTTGGCCTTTATAAATTTATACCATTTACTGATGGATTTTTCGTTGTCCATGGCCATGTTATCTGTCTCTAAATTGTGTGAATTACTGTTTTACCTCTTGTCATGTATCTGATGATGTATGCACATGTAAACTTTTCAGGTCAGAACTTAATCGAATGAATTTCCGGGGTTTCTATACTGTACTTCTAGAGAAAGATGGAGAGCTGGTCAGTGTGGCAACTACTAGGTGAGTATAGGATTTGCTTCCATAAAAAAGTAGGCTCTGGTTGACTGAATGATTATATTTCTTTTGGAGCTGCTGTTTTTTTAATGGCTTGTGTTATGGTAATCTTGATTTACTGCTTTAACTTTTTAGGGTCCTGGGAGATAAGGTAGCTGAAGTACCTCTTGTTGGTACAAGATTTCAATATCGTCGACATGGAATGTGCCGCATCTTAATGGATGAACTGGAAAAGGTAATGAACAAGGAACTCATTTTCCTTTTTTCCTTCTCTATCATTTGATGCCCTCTTTTCATTTTTAACATCATAGTACGTGTGTTTTGTATTTTGGCTGTAACACCTAGGACTGTTCAAAAGAATCCACTGAGCCAAACTGAATTGAACTGCTGAACCCAACCAAATTAAACCATATAGAACCTATGAAGCACAAACGCCTCTAGGATTAGGTGTGTTGCACTGTGTCACGTTAACACATAGGTGTTCAACACTTGTATGATACATGTAAGACACCTCTAGGATTAGGTCCTATCATATATTTAGTAGAGTTATCAATAGCGACTGATAGCGGCGCTATCCCGGAATAGCGTCCCGGAGCAGTGTCCCTCTGCTACGGAGGAGCGGATCACGTCTCAGTTTGAGATCGCAGCCGTGATTTGTGGTTTAGCGGGTCGCGGGAGCGGAGCGCTTCCGGGCCCGAGCGGGTTTCATCAGTTTTGAAAGTAAAAACCCAGATTTACCCTTAAAAAATTTAAACGTTAAAGGAGCTTTTGAGGAATTTTTCCAATTTGCCCTGACTCATAACATTCAATCTTCATCTCTCACACCTTTCGCAAGTTTTCAGAGTTTTCAGAGTTTTCTTCTCACAATCTTCTCCCAGCGCCTCTGTCTGGTTCGTTTCTCAGTGCCGCCGCCTCCGTCTGGTTCGTTTCTCAGTGCCTCCGTCTGCTGCGTTTCTTAGTCTGCTGCGTTTCTCATGTTGGTTTTTAGTTCTCTGTTCTTCTCTTTCTTCTTCTTATTCTTCTTCTTTCTTTTCTTCTTTCTTTTCTTTCTTCATTCTTTTTTCTTTTCTTTTCTTTCTTCCTTCTTTTCTCTTCTTTCGTATTTCTTTTCTTCTTCGTTACTTACACTGTTGTTTTAGTCTTCTTCCTCTTTTTTTCTTTTTTCTTTTTTTTTTAGTTCTCCCCTTTTACTTACTCTGATTCTTCTCTGTTTTTTTCTTTTAAGTAATAGTAATTTAATAAATTTATTTCTCTTCTTCCTCATGGCATCATCTTCTTCTACACCATCTCTGAATTCTACATCTGTTGCCTCCTGTGGCTAAACCTTTAAGCCAACCGGTAGTAACATTAACATAACATGACAATTTGACTATTGGAAGAAGAAAAAGGTGACATGTGATTTCTGTAATCTCACAACTAGCAGAGAAGAAGACATCAACTGAGAATAAAGGGTGATGTAGTAGAATAAGTAGAGCAAGAAGATATCAACAAGAAATAAAAGGTGATTGAGTTGCTTATTTAAAAAAACCACCGGATGAATAGTTCTGAAGCATGGGTACTCTTAAAATGGTGACTTACCAGTACCGGGGTACGCACCCTTACTGATTACAGGTACCGTACTCGTGGTACCTATATTTTTTCATTATTTTGTTTTGAGTGAAATTTATGATTTTCTCATATATTAATATAATATAGGGTTAATACCTATTTTCACCCCTGACATATGGGGTGTATTTGAAAAACCCCCCTGCCAAAAAAAAAGTTCCAATAGTTACCTTGACAAATTTTAAAAGTTTCAATTTTTACCTTGAGGCTGCCACATCACCTAAAAGGCTGATGTGGCTTATTTTTTTGTTACAGTTGTAAGTTTTTTTTTTGCCATGTCACACAAGACCAAGTAAAATGTCCAGAATGCCCTTTCTACATTTTTCTTAAAATCCCAAATAATTTGGCAAATGCTATGTTTCAATTCAGACCCTCCACCTCCAAATTAGGGCGCAGCATCTTCATCTCAGCAACCCAACTTTTGCTTTCCTCTTTCCTCTTCATCTTTAAGTTTTCTTTGATTTCATAAACATGAGTCAACCAAATTGTTCTACTTCATGCTTATCTTCAAATGGTAGACTAACTCCCAAATGCGGGCACAATGTCTCCATGAAGTTATTTGTTTCAAAATCGGTTGCAAATCCCGGGAGAAAATACTGGAAGTGTAAGTTCTGGGGTAAAGGAGATGACTGCAACACATTTGTTTGGGATGATGAATTTTCTGATGATTTCGGTGATAACGGCCATTCGGATGTAGTTTCAGTAGAACTGATGAGCAAACTGGAGAGAGATATCGCACTGAAGATGGAAGCCATGGAGAAAAAAATGGATGAGTTACAAAAGAAGCTGAATTATGTTTTAGTTGGGTTTATTTGTCTTTTGGTTCATTTCTTACTTAGTTCATGTAAAAATTCATGAAGCTGTGGCTTATGTTCTAGGAAGTTGTAACCTAAGTAAAATTTAGTTCATGAATTATATTTCTTTGTTATGGAATATGGAATATATTACTCTCATGAGTTTTGGTTATCTGTTCTGATATTTTGGAAATCTGTTCTTGGAAATCTGTTCTTAAGCAATTCTGTTTTGGAATATTTTGGAAATCTGTTCTGATATTTTGGAAATCTGTTCTTAAGCAATTCTGTTGAGTAATTCTGTTTTACAAAATCTGTTGTTAAGTAATTCTGTTCTTAAGCAAATTTGTTGTACAAAATGACAATAACATAGTTAAGCCAAAATTTGTTTTACAAAATGACTTTAACATTGTTAAGCAAATCTGTTGTGATACATAGTCAAGTACATCTGTTGTACAAAATGACTTTAACATTGTCAAGCAAATCTGTTGTGATACATAGTCAAGTACATCTGTGATACAAAATGACAATAACATGATACATAACTTAAGCCAAGCTTGTTCTGATAATAAGTCAAAGTAACAAAATGACACAGGAAACTTTCAAATTGAATTTTACAAAATAGCACACTATGTGCACAACTACTGATCAATGCCCTTCCTCTTCTTCCTTGATATCTTCTTTGAGGTACTACCACCAGTTTCTTCACCTATGGTCAAAGGTGCATCAGGTGTTGATCCAGGCCCACCATGTCTTTTGGCATTCCTCACTTCCTTCAATCTTTCACTGACTCTCTTTCTTGATCGCTTCCAAGGCACGGCCACGGGCTTTTTCCTAGCTGAAGGCTTTTTGACATTAGTAGCAGCAGGGTCAGGTTGCATTGCAGCAGGTTGTGAATCATGTGTTGGGGGAGGTTGCATTGCAGCAGGTTGTGATTCATGTGTTGGGGGAGGTTGCATAGCAGTAGGTTGTGTGGGATTGTCAACTTGTGATTGTTGTTCTTCATAAAGATCCATCATATTATTCAGCAATGCATCCATCTCTGGGTCTTCATCCACAGTTCCACCTCCAGTTGCAGTTGTATCAACATTTGCATCAGATTTTTTTGACACTTTGGTCATAGGTGTCTTTCTCTGCATTATTCAGAAACAGATATAAATAAAGACATTTCAATATGCTGAACACAATATTATTCAGTAACAGATTCATGAACACAATACCTTTCTCTTTAGTGCATTAGGATCTTGCTCCTTAGCTTGACACTTCCTAGAATTATGGCCAAATTTGTCACAATGCGTGCATCTGTATGCTACACCTACCCTCCTCATCCTTGAACCATTCTCATCCAACTCTCTAAACCTCAGTTTCTTAGGCCTTCCAGGTCCCTTCTTGTATTGTGGTGGCAACAATTCTTCAGCATCCACAGTTGGCCACATGTCCATGCCATTTATTGGACTAACATTGTTTTCATAACATGCCCTGTAAGTTTCTCTCATGTAACAAGGGTCAACATATTTCTCAGGATCTAAGTTTTGATACTGTAATGCAGAAACAACATGCCTACATGGTATGCCCACAAGATCCCAAAAACAACAAGTACAGGTTTTTTTCCCAATATCAACAACAAACTGCAATCCATTATATGGGTGATGGACTTGCCACAAATCACCACTGCTCCATGTAAGCAGCCATTCTCCACTAAGATATGTTTCCTTATCAAGCCTTTTCCTAGGATTAGGCATGACATTGTGCTTCCACTTATCAAGCTTAACAACACTATTAGCAATCCTATTCATCACGTAGTTCCTAATCCATTCTACCATAGTGAGTATTGGCTTATCCCTAGCTTGTAATATTGTACTATTGAAAGATTCACTCAAGTTATTCATCAAAACATCACACTTAGGGTAAAATGAAAATGAATGCTTACACCATAGTTTTGTTGGCACTCCCATCAGCCATTCCCATGCCTTCTTATCAATTTGTTTAAGCTGATTCATCTTCTTTTCCCAAGCCTGGAAGTAAGTAGCCTTTGCAGCCCCCAATAACAGGTCTCTAATGGCAGCTCCCCCTCCAAATTTCTTCTTGAAATTTGCATACAGGTGTCTGAGGCAGACCCTGTGTTCAACTTGCTGATGCATTTCCTCAAAGACACTAACAAGTCCCTAAAAACAGCAAGACAACAGAAAAAAGCATGTACATTAGCAACTTATATATTCCTCATAAATGTTGAACATTAGCAACAGAACAAGGCATGTAACATTAGCAGCAGGTTCTCATAAATGTTGAACATTAGCACCAGAAATACTTCAGTACCAGAAATTAGTGCATATTTGTGCATGTTTCATAAATGTGAATAACTAAGGTAATTAGTGCATATTTGTACCTTTTGTTGGTCTGAAATAAAAACATACTTTCTCTCTTCTCCAATGTCTTCCATTAGCAATTGCATAAACCATCTCCAGCTTTCTTTTGTCTCAGTCTCCACCACACCAAATGCCAAAGGATAATATTGGTCATTCGGGTCCCTTGCTACAGCAATTAACAATTGACCTCCATATTGTGTCTTAAGATGACACCCATCTACCCCTATAAATGGTCTACAACCCTTGGTAAACCCTTTCTTGCATCCATCAAAACAGAAGTAAAATCTACCAAATCTTAGTGGTAGTGTTGGATGTGGTCTCTCAGTATTTAGTTTGACAGTGTTCCCAGCACAATGTTTTCTCAACTCAGCTGCATATCTCCATAACATGTTATACTGTTCCTTTGCATCACCTTCAATTATTTCTTCAGCCATAGCTTTGGCTCTCCAAGCTTTCCCTTTGGTAATGCCCACTGAATATTTCTGTCTAAGCTCAGACATAATTTCAGACAGTTTAACTTTCCCTTGTGACTTCCTCTTTTCAACCACTAACTTAGAGACCCGCTTGGAATTGGCAGACTTGTTATTTAATACCCTTGCACATGTGTGGGTCCCCACCCAAGTCTTTATCTGGTAAGTGAGGCTACCTCCCACTTTGCTACACAATGCCAAAAACCCACATTTACTCTTACACTCAACCCTAACCCTATAGCTCTCATTCTTAACAAACGTTATTTCTCTACCATTTAATACTGACCAATCCCTGATAGCATCTTTAAATTCAGAAAGAGAAATGAACTCCATACCTAATTTGAATTGAAAGTCTTTGTTAAGCAGCTCTGATCTGAACTTCTCATACTTTGGCTTGGAAGGTTTGTCATCCATGTCACTTTCATCAGCATCTGAACTTTCAAGTTCCTCACTAGCATAATCCACATCTTCACATATCCTTGTAGCCCTCTTTGAACAAGATCCTAAGACACTTTTGGGCACCAAAACACTGACCTTGTCCCTTTTGCTCTTTTCTTTCATCTTTTTGGGATCCTTGGATGCACAACGCTTGAATCTAAATGATTTCCCTTCGATCTCCACCCTATTCCCACTAACTGGAACAGCTACCTCCACTCGTTCAAATTGCTCTTCTTCTACTTCAATTACTCTTTCCTCTTCACTGTCATTGAAACATTGGCTTGCATCAACATAGTCACCAGAACTATCATCTCCACTAGAGGTGCTGAAGTCATCAACATTAGGTACCAGAACCTTGGTCATCATGTCTTCTACACCGTGCTCTACCCAAAGATCGCCGTGAACCCTACAAGACATACAATGCTTAGCAACTTCTACAGCTCCTGCATCATCAACAACATTTGTAAACCCTTCATCCGTTTGCGGAATCTTTCTCCATAGCCTAAAACCTTCATAACCCCAATCTTTAACCAGACTAACAGCTTCAAAAAAGCTCCATTTATCTTCGTCCTGACATTCAACAGTAGTCTCACTACCTCCTCTATAATACGTATGGCCGTCTTGCACGAAACTTCCCCGATGATGAAACACTAAATTAAACACACCCATTTGCAAGGATGAAGAACCCTAATCGCAGGGTCTGAATTGAAACTGGCTTTTTTTTGTAAGATGAAGATGAAGATGCTGCGCCCTAATTTTGCCAAATAATTTGGGATTTTAAGAAAAGGGCATTCTGGACATTTTACTTGGTCTTGTGTGACATGGCAAAAAAAAAACTTACAACTGTAACAAAAAAATAAGCCACATCAGCCTTTTAGGTGATGTGGCAGCCTCAAGGTAAAAATTGAAACTTTTAAATTTTGTCAAGGTAACTATTGGAACTTTTTTTTTGGCAGGGGTTTTTTTCAAATACACCCCATATGTCAGGGGTGAAAATAGGTATTAACCCTATAATATATTTATGTATTTTAGTTTATTTATTATGATAACCTAACATAATTTTTTATTATTTAAGCTTTTATTGTGATCATTTGTTAAAAATTAAAGATTTTAGTTCTTTATTAATACATTTTATTGACAAATTTTTGTTTTCTATTGACGTACCTTAATTTTTGTTAAAATGCCGTATCTCGTACCGGTACCTGCACCGGGAACCGTACCTGTACCCGCACCGGGTACCGTACCCGTACCTATGCATCATAAAGCACTATTACAGGCTGTGAAGATGCTAATGATGACATTGGGGAAATAGGGAGAATTCGAACTGGAAAGAGGCTTGTTGAGACCTCTTCACATGCTGTCAAAAAGACTAAAGGTCCATTGGATTTAATGTTTAAGAAGACGAAGGACACAAAGCAAACAAGCATCAATGATACACGTGATAAAGAAGTTAGGGGTAGAACTATATAATATATTGCTCGCTTTTTTAATAAAAATGGGATTGCCTTTAGTAAGAGCAAAAAGCTTTAGGTTGATGTTGGAAGCTGTTGGAACATATGATCCTCATTTGAAACTGCCAAACTTTCATGAAATGAGGGTTCCACTCCTTCAAAATGAGTTGGAATATACAAAAGGTAAGTGTAAAGGATTAAATATGGATGTTCGATTTTGTTAGATGGTTGGATAGATAGAAAATGTAGAACCTTAATAAATTTCTTGGTCAATTCTCCAGCGGGAACCAGGTTTGCGAGAAGTGGTGATGCTTATGAATATACCAAGACGAGGAATAGGCTACATGAGTTATTGGACACTTCTGTTGAGGAAATGGGTGAAAAAAATGTTGTCCAACTGGATTACACATAATGGGAGTAATTATGTGATGGCCTATAAAAAGTCAACTTTAAATAGGCCACACATGTTTTAGATTCCATGTGCTACCCACTGTATAGACCTGATGTTAGAAGACATTGGAAAAATTCCAAGAGTTCATAAGGTTATACAAAATGGAACATAAGGTTATACAAAATGGAATTAGGGTTGTGGGTTAAATTTATAACCATACATTTGCTTTGAATCTAACGAGAAAGACTACCAGTAATGTTGAATTGGTTAGAAATGGAGTGACAAAGTTAGTTCTAAGTGTGCCAAGGATCCTAAAGGAAAAAGGGTAACTGGTATTATACTTATGCCATCATTTTGAAATGATGTTATCTACACTCTTAGAGTGTGTTTGGACGAGATAATTGGGAATTTTTAAGGAATTTAAAATTCTAAGCAATTTAAATGATTCAATTGAAATTCGTTATTTTTAAATTTTTTTGTTTGGACGGGGCATTAAAATATTCATTGTTAAATTTTTGGGGTCATTTTCATAAATTTTAAAACAATTGGATCAAATTATGAAAAATAGGGACCGATTTGCAAATTTTGAAAATTTGATGAGATCAATTTGTAAAATTTAAAACTTATTGGGACTTATTTGCAATTTTTTGACAATTTTGAGGGTGAATTTAAAATTTTCATAATATGTAAGGACCATCTTGCAAAATTTGAAAATTTAATCATAAACAATTATACATTTGCAGTATACAGTGAAGAAGCAATTTCAAATTCTTTATTTTTTGGTGTCATTTGAAATTTCTTAAATTTAACTTGAATAAAATACTTCATAATTTTACATCATTTTAACAATTCTTCATATTTTTTATCCAAACAATGGATTTTGGTCAAGTCATTTTAAATTTCCTCAAAAAAATTACTTTTCCTCGTTAAAATGCTTCATCCAAACACACTCTTAAGGTCATGTAGCCTCTTGTAGATGTGTTAAGAATGGTTGATAATGAAAATAAATCCACAATATATATATATATATATATATATATATATATATATATATATATATATATATATATATATATATATATATATATATATATATATATATATATATGACATAATGGGGGTAGCGGAGGAATCAATTGAAAAAGCTTTCAATTTTAATTCAAGCAAGTTCAAAGTCGTATTTGCAACCATTGATAAAAGATGGGAGTGTCAACTTCATCACCCGCTGCATGCTGCATGTTACCATCCGAATCCTGAATATTTTTATAATAAACAAAAAATTGAGAATGATCCCAAATTGGTGAGAGCCTCCGTAAATACATTGAAACACTTAGTGGATGTCATGAAGTGGAAGATATGATTTCAGTTTAAATGGAAAAATACAAGAGTGCTAGAGGTCTCTTTAGAATATGTTCAGCTCAGTGGTGGAATTCTTAAGGAGCAGAAACTCCAAATTTGCAAATATTGGCGATTAAAGTATTGAGTTTGACTTGCAGTGCTTCCGGATGTGATCGCAGCTGGAGCATGTTTTAGCATGTAAGTATTACTTTTTTTACTAGGATATTAAAGTAACTTACATTCAAGTATTATTAAACTAATATTTCAAATTATTGTATTATAGATTCATTCTAAGAAGAGATATAAGCCAGAGCATCAAAAGTTGCAGAACTTGGTTTTCATCAAGTATAACCAAACTTTGATTGAAATATATGAATGTCGTGACAAGATTGATCCTATGGTTTTGAGTGACATTGATTATCACACTAAATGGTTGGTGGGATAGATATGAGAAGATGGCGAAGAGATGGTTCATGAAAATGATGATTTAAGTTGGTCTCAATTTTCCAATGCAAAGTGAGGTTAATGAGCCTATAATTTACACTAGGAGGGCAAAACAACTTGCAGCTGCTGCAAGTGCATCTAGGGAAACAATAACACAACAAGTGGTGCTAGAAGATGAAGAATTGGAAAATGATGAAGGTGAAAAATTGGAGGAATATGTTGAAGAAGACTTGTTTAATGATGATTTATGATTTCTCTGTTTGAATTTTCATATAATAGTACTGTACTCTAAGCTTGAATTTTAAGATGTTAAAATGCAATGTTTTGAATTTGATTTAGATTTGTTGAATTTAATGAAGAGTTTTTGATTAAACATTGTGCTTTGATATTTGATTTTATGAATCTTTTATGAGTATTGTGTTATTCGTTTAATTTTACATTAAATATATGTTTTATAGATTATTGATATAATTAGTCCAAAAAATAGTCAAATAGCTGTTATCCCGCTATTTCATTTTTGAGGTTGACCGCTCCGCTCCATTATCTGGGATTGATAACTCTGATATGTAGTGTCCTATATTTTTTTTTACATCAGTGACGTGTCCGTGTCGAGTCCGTGTTTCTTAGTATAGAACTCAGAACTAAGAAAACACTAAGAATTCGATGTCCGTGGTGCACAGTCATACCTATATGGAAAATCAACACAGTTTACCTTAAAAAAAGAAGGTAAACCACTGTGCACCAAACAGATAGAGCAGTTTGGTTCAGTTTGGGATCAATCATAATCAGTTCAATTCAGTTTAGTTTGGTGTGATTTTCTGTAGAAACCGAACTTTGAAAAGGCCTAATAACACCCCTATTGTTACTTTATATCTTAATTGTTTAACCTGTCTTTCTGTCACCAGAAACTCATGCAATTAGGAGTGAAGCAGCTTGTTTTGCCTGCTGTTCCTTGTGTGGTAGATACATGGACAGGTCCTTTTGGCTTTTCAAAGATGACAGAACTTGAGAGGTCAAATTTTCTGGACTATACTTTCCTAGATTTTCAGGGTACCATCATGTGCCAGAAGTTGTTGACAAAGACGCCGTCTCCAGATTCTGTTTTGCCAATAGGTATGTAATTTGTAATCTATAGGATACAAGTAGATAAGTTTGTGTCTTGCTAAGGAAAATACATTTACAACTTCAATGTTTCTCTATGCAGAGTTCCAACAAAAAGTCGGTGCTATCTCCGAAAGCAGTAGCGCTAATAAGTCTCCAGTATCTGAAGTTTACCAAGCAGGAGAGATAGTTATGAAAGAAATGTCGGATACACCAATGTTAGAGTATGTCTCCCCTCTGTCTATTTAATCCTTACCTTACAAGAAAGGCAAGATTATTAAATACTTATGTATGATAGTAGTAAAGTGACGGCAAAGGGATCTTATATTGTAGCCTAAAAAGGGAAAGTCGCGTGAGTATTTTCAAGGCATAAAAATGAACCCCCTGTAATTTCTGTCTGTTACCATATATCTATTTTTGTCATAAATATTGTCTCGATTGAGATCTTGCCTAGGATAGTGAGTGGTAGCAAGATCACAAAATAGAAGATCGCAACAAAGATCATATAATGTTAAATAGTTGTTATAGCGGCCTTATAGTGCTATAGCAAAGTGGATTTTGGACAAAATCTTGTTAAATAGCCATTGCAGTGGCGTTACAACGTTAATGTGTACTGGGATTATCCAATCTGTTAGCCACAATGGACAACACTAGGATAATAAGATCTTACCAAAATAATTACTTAGAATCGGTATAGGGTATCAGCATGATTGTATCTAACGAATCTGATTATTTTTTTTGCAGCGCTTTTGAAGGCGAAAGCAATATTGATAATGTATCTAAAGAACCTGTTATTGACTGTGTCACCATGGTACTTTCATCTTGTTCCTATTGTTATTCTATGATATGCGATTTGATGAACTATTTCTTGATAATTTAATTGGTTTATAGGTGGAGCAACCAGTTCTCGAGGATGAACAACATTGCAAGAATGGAACCTCCACTGTACAAGGCTCTTTTGAAAAATGGAAGAATGTCTTGTATTATTATAGACGAAGGAAAGTGAAAGGGTAGCATGAGTATGATTATGATAATTGTGAGTAAAAAGGGAAGCACAATATTTTGTTGAAGGGGAATAATTGAGTGCTGATCACATTATCTTCAGTTATAACCTCTTTCTTTGTGTTTCCTTGGTACAAAGTATACATGTGTATAAGTAGGAGATTTTGCATGCCTTTATAAATTGAGGTAGTTTTGAGTTATTGATAGATGGAGCCATTTGTCTCTAGTTTTGGAAATAACTAACAATGGATTGTAACATAAACTCCACTAATGGTTATTTTTGAAGTATATTTTGAGTCAATAATGATTTGACAAAATTAAAACCAAACAGTTCAGAGTTTAGCATAAGGTTGGATTTGAAATCCATTAAGTTACAATTTTTCAAATCTGTTTAGAATAAACAAGCCTAAAAATGATTTGGATAAGTTTGTTACTTTGAATAATAATCCATTTGATTAGCAAAATACTTTGGTTTCAAAATAAGTGTCACATTTGAGTATTTATAACATATGCTAAGTGAGAGAATAATAAATACATTTGAGTATTTATCACATATGCCAAGTGAGAGAATAATAAATTGAGAGTGATGTAGGTAATGTACAATATTGAATCTATTATGAATAATGGAAGTTTAATGGTTTGACTCTTTGTCTTTTAATATTCTCTTTTTGTTAGAGTATTTTTTTTTTGACAAAAACAAAGTTAACTTTTTTCATTAAACAAAAGGAGTTCAATACAAGGAGGAATATCATTGACAATATTACGCCCGATTAAGAATTGGCTGCCTTTTTTAACGAGTGGGCAACCATATTCGTTTAGCGCTTAATAAACTTTATCTCATAGTTTGGGAAAAAATACAACAACTGCTTAATAGATTAAATTCGGAACAACCTACTTGAGAAGTATGAATGACTTTAACCAACATTTGAGAGTCACTTTCAAAAATAACATAATCCAAATTTAACTTGATGACATTTTGTATAGCCTTTTTCAAAGCTACAACTTATGCTTTAATGATGGATAAAAGACTGACATCCCAAGCTACACATGCAATAATAAATCTACCCATACTATCTCGTACACACCATCCCATATTTGATGTCTTAAAATGATTATTGAAACCTGCGTCAACATTATACTTCACCCACCCTTCATTTGGCGGTCTTCAACCAGCTAGATTATGAGATGAATTATGAGTCTCATGTACCTCACGAGCTAAATACCAATCTTGCCCGTTGAAATAAGCTTGCATGCCTATTCTCGAAACCTCCTCCCTATCATTATTCCAAACAACATTATTTATATTCTTTCAAAGCGAGTCAATTAACACTACAAACCGACCCACTTCCCGCCTATCTTCTCTACTACATATATCAAGTATAAGGAATTTAGCATCAGTAAAAGAGTGTAAGAGGGACTCAATAAGATGAAATAAACATGTTGCCTTCCAACACTGGCTAGTAGTGCTACAACCAAATAACACATGTCACTCGTCTTCGTCTTCAACTTCACAACTATGACAATTCGATGGACATAGAACACGATGATGTCAGAGTCTCATTCGCGTCGGTAAACAACCCCTGCATATTCTCCATAAAAGACACTTGGCTCTCGGAGGGACCACAATATCCCACAAGCTCTCCCAATCTCCTTCCACTTTTCTCTCTCGATGATTCTCCCGAAAAGTCCTTCACAGTCTATAACCAAATTTAACGCTATACTCTCCATCTTGCTTTTCCTTCCAAATTAAAGTATCCTCTAGAACCTCCTCCACCAATGGGACATCCAAGATCTCTTCAACTACTACAAGATCAAACAAGGAGTATATAGCTTGTACATTTCATTGTTTAGTGTTAGCAATAAAGATATTTTTAACATAGAGATCATACACACTTTGTACTTAAGGCCCATTTAATCACATGCATCTTTCCTTCTAAGCCACGGTTCTTCATTTACCCTGATTTTACTCCCATCACTTATACTCCACCTACATTCAAGCATTAAGACATCTCTAGCTTTCCACATACTTCTGCAAACAAAACTTGGATTGTTACCAAGGTTAGCTTCTAAAAAAGAGGAACTAGGAAAGTATCTTAAAGAAGAGATTGACTACAACTCCAGTTTTGATTTTTCCTGAACCTAATGAATTATTTGTAGTATATTGTGATGCGTCAATGATGGGTTTAGATGGTATGCTGATGCAAGATGGAAAATTTGTGGCTTAGGCTTCACGATAACTGAGGATTCATGAGAGAAACTATCCTACTGATGATTTAGAGTTGGTTGCAGTGGTGTTTGTATTCAAGATTTGGAGGCATACCTTTATGGATCCAGATTTGAGGTGTTCAATGATCATAAGAGTTTGAAATATCTATTTGATCAGAAAGAATTGAATAATAGGCAGCGTATGTGGTCGAAATTCTTGAAGGATTATAACTTTAGCTTGAATATTATCCCGGTAAAGCTAATATTGTGGTCGATGCTTTAAGTCGGAAGTCTTTGCATATGTCTGCTATGATGGTTAGGGAGTTGAAATTGATTGAGCAGTTCAGAGACTTGAGTTTGGTTTGTGATTTGACACCGCAAAGTGTGATGTTGAGTATGCTGAAGATCAAAACGATTTTCTTCTAACATTAAACAGAATCAGAAGTTGGATATGAAGTTGGTAGACTTGATAGTTGGGAGTAATCAGACTGGGGACAAAGGCTTTAGAGTGGATGATCAATGTGCATTGAGATTCCGTGACAAAATTTGAATTCCTGATAATTCTGAGTTGAAAAATATGATTCTGGAAGAGAGTCATAGGAGTAGCTTGAGTATTCATACAAGAGCTACAAAGATTGTATCAAGACTTGAAGAAGATATTTTGGTGACCCAAATTGAAATGTGATGTGGCACATTTTGTGTATGCTTGTCTGACTTGTCAGAAGTCGAAAGTTTAGCATCAGAAACCTGCAGGGTTGTTGCAGCTGTTGGATATTCCAGAGTAGAAATAGAATAGCATTTCTATGGATTTTGTGACTGGGTTACCAAATAATTCGAGAGGGCATGATGTTATTTGGGTGATTGTGGATAGACTGACATAGCCAGCACACTTTATACCGATTAACATCAGTTTTTATATGCAGAAGTTGACAGAGATTTATATCTGTGTGATTGTGAAGCTGCATGGAGTTCCATTGACCATTGTTTCAGATAGAGATTTGAGGTTCACTTCTAGATTTTGGAAGGGTTTGCAGGAAGCTCTAGGTTTGAAGCTAAGGTTAAGTTTTGCTTATCATCCACAGATAAATGATCAGACAGAGAGGACTATTCAGCCTTTGGAGGATTTGTTGATGGCTTGTATTTTTAAACAAGGAGGTGTTTGGGATACTCATTTGTCGTTGATAGAGTTTACTTATAATAACAATTACCATTATAGTATTAGAATGACGCCTTTTGAAGTATTGTATGGACTAACACTTTTATGTTGGCATGAATTTGGTGAGAATATAGTGCTTGGACGTGAGATTATTCAAAATACTACTGAGAAGGTGAAGGTGATTCACGAGAAGATGAAAGCTTCACAAAGTAGACAGAAGATCTATCATGATAAGAGGAGGAAGGATCTTTAGTTTCAACAAGGAGACCATGTATTCTTGAGAGTCACCCCGGTGACCGGTGTTGGGCGTGCCTTGAAGTCGATGAAGCTTACTCCTAGGTTTATTGGTTCGTATCAAATATCGCAGAGTGTTGGAGTTATTGCTTATAGAGTGTCGTTGCCATCAAATTTGTCGAATTTTCATGATGTATTCCATGTTTCACAACTTCGGAAGTATGTTTCGAAGGATGATGTTCAGGTAAGGGATAACCTTACAATTAAGGCCTTACATGTGAGGATTGATGATCGTGAGATGAAGCAGTTGAGAGGTAAGGAGATTACTCTCGTGAAGGTAGTATGGAGAGGCGCTTCTGGAGGGAATATGACTTGGGAGTTGGATTGTAGGATGCGAGATTCGTATTTGGAGTTGTTCGTATCAGGTAATTTTGATGACGAAAATATTCTAAGTTAGAGAGAGTTGTAATGCACCGACTTATTTTATTTTTTTTCCGTAATTTAATTATGTGGTATTTGGTGATTATGTGGTATTGTTTGGTGTTTTGGTGTATTTGAGATACCCTTGGTGTGGGGTAATGACCTTAAGAGTATAATTAAGGTGTTAGGGGTGTATGAACGAAAGTGTAGAATTTGGTGGTGTGGTGATTAAGACTAATTGAATTATATTAGTTAATAATTATTTAATATTAAATGGATATTAGTTTAATTAAATAATTGATGAAATTATTATTATTATTATAATTGTTATTATTATTTAATTAGTGGACTAAGTTATAATGATAATATAATAAAATAATAGAAAAGATAAGTGGATGAATAGAAATTTGATAGATCGTGAAAGTTTGGAGAAAATAGAAAGGAGAGCTAGGGCAAAGGGGAGAGAAGATCACCGTTATTGAGAAACTTTTGCAAGAACTCTAAGGTAAGAGTGTGGTTCTAATTATCTAAGGATTTGTATGATAATGGTGGATAGATTATGTATATGCTTTGTTTGTGTTTTCTTCTCTCAATATCATGATCATTGTTGTAATTTTGTAATTGTTGGTTTAATAGTATGGATCATGCAATTGTATGTTGTTTGATGAACTAGATGTGTTAGAATATTGTATGATGATGTCGTGGTTTATAATTGAATGGTAAATCGTGTAATATTGTTGTTGAAATTATGCATTTGATGGAATTGTTGATGGTAGATGTTGTGTTGTTATGTGTGGTTCTGAGTCAAAGTAGGAACTAAGTTATGAGTGTGTTCGATGGAAATAATTTGGGGTTTGAAACTTTTGAAAAGTGATTTTTCGTGTTAAAATATGAGATAAATGATTTGTAAGAAAAATGGGATTTTGGGATAATTTATAAGTGATTTTCATACTGATAAGCAGTAGAAAAAATGCTTATACTGCAGGTGTAATCGATT